TCTAATCCAGGCCACCTCCCCCTACCGGCGTCTGTCTCCCCAGCTATCCCACTAGATGGCTTCTCGCACCCTGAGCAAGTGCTGAAACCAGTCTGTGACTCTGGGAGCCCCCTTTCCGGGCCCTGAGATCTGGGGGCAGGGAGCCAGTGGTGCGCACGAGGGGCCCCATGCACCTGCCCCCGCAGCTCTCCTTCGCCCTCTATATGGCCGCCTTCGCGCTGGGCTTCCCGCTCAACGCCCTGGCCATCGCAGGCGCCGTGTCCCACGCCCGGCTGCGCCTCACCCCCAGCCTGGTCTATGCCCTCCACCTGGGCTGCTCCGACCTCCTGCTGGCGACGTCTCTGCCCCTGAAGGCGGCGGAGGCCCTGGCTGGGGGAGCCTGGCCCCTGCCGGCCTCACTCTGTCCTGCCTTCGCCCTGGTCCACTTCGCTCCGCTGTACGCGGGCGCGGGCTTCCTGGCCGCCCTGAGCGTCGGCCGCTACCTGGGAGCCGCCTTCCCCTTGGGCTACCAAGCTGCCCGGAGGCCGCGCTATTCCTGGGGCGTGTGTGTGGCCATATGGGCCCTTGTTCTCTGTCACCTGGGGCTGGTCTTTGGGTTGGAGGCTCCAGGAGGCTGGCTGGACAATACCACCAGCTCCCTGGGCATCAGCACGCCAGTCAACGGCTCTCCAGTCTGCCTGGAGGCCTGGGACCCGGCCTCGGCGGGCCCTGCACGCTTCAGCCTCTCTCTGCTGCTCTTCTTTCTGCCCCTGGTCATCACGGCCTTCTGCTACGTGGGCTGCCTCCGGGCACTGGCCCGCTCAGGCCTGAGCCACAGACGGAAGTTAAAGGCGGCCTGGGTGGCCGGTGGGGCTCTGCTCACACTGCTGCTCTGCTTGGGACCCTACAATGCCTCCAACGTGGCTGGCTTCCTGCACCCCAGCATCGGAGGCTGCTGGCGGAAGCTGGGGCTCATTACAGGTGCGTGGAGCGTGGTGCTCAACCCACTGGTGACCGGCTACTTGGGAGGGGGCACTGGCCGGGGGACAACACGTGGGGCAAAAACAAAAGGGGGGCCGTCCCAGAAGTAGTCATCACTGCAGGGGGGAGGGGCAGGGAGCAGGAGAGCCAGACTGATTCTCCAGGCGCTTGGCGAGGGTTGCTCCAAAGGAACTGCAGGGCGGTTTTGCCTGCGGGGCATCCCCGGAGCCACTTATGGGAAGAACTGAGCCTGGCAGAAGATGGCATCCCGGGTGGAGAAAGAATGGAGGCCTGGAGCTGGGTCACAGGAGGAAGGTAAGCTGCCTCAGCACACATCTGCGCAATTTCCCACCTCTGTCCGGTTCTCTTCTGCGTCCTGACTGGCCTGCCAGTGTGCCCTGTGGGGAAGGAGGGAGGGAGGTCTGCTTCTAAGCCAGAGGAACTGCCGCCACACTGATGGTATGCTTTGGGAGATGTTCCTCCAAAATCATTTCCTAGGAAAGACCATTTTGAATTTCTGAATACGAGGCCGGAGGCAAGGTAATGACACTGTTATACCATTTGACACCCACAAGGGGGCAGCATTAGAACTGTGAACAGGACGCTGGTAGGAAAAGATGCCGGGGGAACGGAAAACACCAACACCAGAAATATACGTGACAGTCACCGTGCCAAGTGCCTTACAAGTGTTGTCTCATTTCATCCTCCCACATTCCTTTGATTTAGCCATGCGGCTGCTGTACAGATGAGCGGACCGCTCACGGCAAGAGGGTGTCAGGCAGAGAGGCAAACACCGACTAAATTCTACCCTGTGCTTTGCTCACCAAGCCGTGGGCCTGGCATGGGGCTGCTTCCAACCAAGGGAAGCAGCAACTTATTCTAATTTGAACAAAGGCGCTCCTCAAGCAGCGCACCCTGGTGCTGGGCTGTGCTCATCTGCAGGGTGTACCTTTTCCTAATTTGCACTAAGGTGCTGCATGAGTTGGCTGTGGTCATCTTCATTTTGCAGGGTTTAGAAATTTACCCAACGCCCTACAGCAAAGCGGGGTGGGGGGGGGACATAGGATGTGATCCTTCCAGGAGGATCAGGGGACATTTAGAAAACTTGGGGTATCAGGGTTAATGCCTGTCCTTGTGGTCCCTTTTGCGAAGGTGAATGGTAGCACCCTGAACCCGAGAGAGATTGGGCAGAGGACAGTGACCGTGAGAGCCAAAAGTCTGGGCGTCTGCTCTGAGGCGAGGAGTAGGAAACAGACTTGTTCCTCTAATGACGATAAAGACATGAACACACAGAAGCAAAAAAGTGGCAGCTACAGCCTGACGAGCCGGAACTGGTTTACACAAGTTATCTCTTTTCGTGCCTAAATGTCTACAAGGGGGGACTCCCCTGGAGGGCCAGCGGTTAAGACCCTGCACTTCCACGGGTTCGATCCCTGGTCGGGGAACTAAGATCCCGCGTGCCGCGTGGTACGGGCAAAAAAAAAAAAAAAAAAAACTGTCTACAAGGGCAAGGATTTTTGTTTCATTTGCTGATATATCCCCGGCAACTAGCAAAGAGTCGAGTACACGGTAGGCTTGCAGTTAATATTTGCTGAATGAGTGAATGCTCATGACAGCCCTCCAAAAGAAGTCTTATTATCCCTGTTTAAAAATATGGAAATGGGCCAGAGAAGTTCAGCCACTTGCCCGAGGCTCTGCCGAAGCCAGAAACAAGTTTGTTCTCTGCGCAGTGGTGACATCAGAGGATTTCAGCCGAAGGCCGAACTCCAGGCCAGGCAGCTCATCCTGTAACACGAGAACCACTCTCCCTTCCACGGCACCGGAGCACCTGCTGGTGCCGGGCCACTCCTTCCAGTGACTTGTGCCTCCTCCATTTAGGGGAGATTTCACTTCCTCCCTGGGGCTCCTGGGGCCCCTGGGGTCCCGCACGACCCACCCCCAGCATCCTCTGGTGACCCTCGTTCCTTGGGCCCTGAACCTTCTACCAGTGCCCCTAGCAGGTCAAGCCTGTGCACCGGCCCCCATTTCCTCTGCTTGCGCTGTTTGCTCCAGGGGCTCTCAGCCTCTGTGTTACTGATGTCTTTATTATCCTCCCACCACTCAGAACCCCCCGAGACTGCTGTACTTCTAACAACTTATTTGAGATAAAATTTACATATCATAAAATTCACCCACTTTAAATGTACAATTCCGCGATCTTTAGTAAATTTACCAAGGTGTGGATTATATTATATCACTATAATCCAATTTAGGACATTTTTATCACCCCAGGAAGATCCTTCATGTTCACTTACAGTTAATCCCACTTCCACTCTCAGTCCCCAGGCCACCAGTAATCTACCTTCTGTCTCTACACATTTGCCTATTCCGGACATTTCATAAAAATGGTAACATACATGGTCTTCTATGTCTGGCTTGTTTCACCTAGCACAATGTTTTTAGGTTTATCTGTGTTATGGTATACATGGGTATTTCATTCCTTTTCATTGCCAAATAGTATTCCATTGTATGGCTATGCCGCATGGTTTATCCATTCATTGGCTTATAGACCACCAGGTGATGTTTTCACTTTTTGGTTATTATGACTTATGCTATTATGAACATTTATGAGCCAGTCTCTGCGTGGACATATGTTTTCATTTCTCTTAAGTAGATACCTATAGCAGAATCAGGTTACCTGGTAGATTTATGTTTACCTTTTTAAGAAACTGCCCAAATGCCTTCCAGAGTGACTCCATCATTTCACATTCTCACCAGCAATGTATGAGGATTCCCATCTCTCCACATCCTCACCAACACTTGGTATTATCTGATTTTTTTTTTTTTTTTGCTTATAGCCATTCTAGTGGGTGTATGAAATGGTATCTCACTGCACTCCATAAATATTTGAATGAATAAATAAATACTCTCTGAAGCTGGACAGAAGTTTGAACCCTGGTGGCGATACTTAACAAGCTGTATTACCTGGAGTGAATCACTTCCCCACTGTGAGGATTTCAAGACATAAGGTGATGCCCTGAGAAGCAGTGGGTCTGCTATGGATTATGTGCCCACTGAAAAGTAGCTGTCATCATCATTGCCACCAACGTTAATATTATTACTATCAGCCCAGAGACAAGCCCACACGAGTGACTGGCAGCCAGCCTCTGTCAAGGGCTCACCATACTTACCACTTAACTTAGCCTTTGACACGTATTAACCCTTTAATGTACACAAGCCTATGAGATTGGTTATGATTATCCCTGTTTTATAGATGAGAAAGCAGAGATACAGAGGGCTTAAGTCACTTGCCCCAAATCACAGAGTTAGTAAGTGATAGGACCAGCATTGAACCCAAGCCCCGGCTCCAGAGCCCAAGCTCTACATCACCGTATCACACCTCCTACCCTTACAACAAGGCAAACTGGATGAGTGCCATTCTAGAGGAGCAGATAAAATTCAAGTAAAGGATCAGAGAGAAGAAGACGAAGTCTGCTCATCCCATCTGAGGCTGCTGGGGAGCGAGGCGCGCAGGCAGTCGTGGAATTTGCCCCTCATTTTGTGTACTGGGCCGGCACTGCTCACAGAGCTAACGGCATCTTTTGTGCCATTGCTCAGCAGCGAGTGACATCATGGGCACTGCCAGGTTTTTAGCAGTTCTGCCAGATACTAGCTCACCGGACTTGTTCTGGAGGAGCCAGCAAGTTGCTGAGCGGCAGAGAACTTGGGTTCTCAGACCAGCAGGTAAGCACGGGACCCTGAGGGGCTCTGTGGATGGCGCCTTGGTGCTTAGAGAAAGGAAACAGGAGACAGGGAGTGACCAGGAAGAGAGGGACAGGAAAGGGATAGGAGACAGGCTATGACCAGGAAGACAGGCAGGCTGACCCCGCTGGGGAAAGCACTGGGGGCATGAGGCAGTGAGGCTGGCGATGAGGTTCCCTTCTGATAGCTGAGAAGCGGATGGTGCGAGACGCCCACGCAGACTGTCATCTCTGTCCCTCTCTTGCTAGTGGCCGTGACCACGAACGCCAGCTCAGACCGGGGCTTCTTGCTCGGCAATCATGGGCTCCACCTCCCTCATGGGGCTTCCCCTCAAGCTGGAGGCCCTGCTGGTCCTCGTGGACAAGCTGCAGCGCTGTCCGGCGGCCGTGCGCCTGCTCTCGTTGAACGTGACCCTATCGGCCCCGCGCCCTGGTGCTCTTCCTGCCATTCCACGTGGTGAAGGCGGCGAGCGGCGCGCGCTGGCCCCTGCCCTTCATCTTCTGCCCCTTCTCCGGATTCCTCTTTCTCTCCACCATCTATCTCATGCCCCTCTCCCTGGCGGCTGTGAGCGATGAGCGCTTCCTGAGCGTGGCCTTACCCAGTTTGGTACCAGACCCGGCCAAGGCCGGGACAGGCTGGCCCGGTCAGTGGGGCCTGCTGGCTCCTGGCCGCCGCTCACCGCAGTGTGGTCCATGTCGCTGAACTCTCGGGACGCTCCTCCCACACCCAGGGTATCAACGGGACCTGCTACCTGGAATTCCGGAAGGATCAGCTGGCCTTTCTCCTGCCTGTCCAGCTGGAGATGGCTGTGGTCCTTTTGGGGGTGCCCCTGCTCATCACCAGCTACTGCTATAGCCGCCCGGTGTGCATACTCGGTAAGGGAGCCAGCCAGCGCCGGCGGAAGAGGGTGGTGGGCTTGCAGCAGCCATGCTGCTCAACTTTCTCGTCTGCTTTGGGCCCTACAACGTGTCCCATGCTGTGGGCTACATCCAGGGTGAAAGCCCAAAGTGGAGAAGTTACGTGCCGCCCCTCAACACCCTGAATTCCTGTGTCGACACCCTTTACTATTTCTCATCATCTGGGTTCCAAGCTGACTTCCAGGGGCTGCTGGGGAGGCTGACTGGAGCCTGTGGCCCTTGGTGGCAGGAAGGCAGCGTGACACTGGAGTGAAGGAGAGGGGCCGCCACAGGAGCTGTCTAACATATAGGAGGGCTCTGGAGCGGGTGGCCAGGTGGACTGGCCTGCAAAGCAGATCATCCCTGGGGCAGTTCCAAGGTCAAGTCAGGCAGCACCTTGGAGAGGCAGGCTGGGGACGGGCACCGTTTGGGTCAGAGCAGGTACCCAGCCTTCCTCAGGATGTGCCCACAAGAGCCCAGCTCTTGATCTCGCCACACTGCCCTCCCTTCTCGTGCCCCAACATGCTCAGGGGGCGGTCAAGGTGAGAGAGAACTCTGGAGAATAAGGAGCTCCCCAGGGCAGCAGGCGAGCTCCTGTGCTTTGCTGAAGGTGAAGGAGGAGTTGACAGCAGTGTCCAGGGTCTGAGGGAGCTGCCCAGTGACTTGGGACAGGAGAGAGGAAGAATCTGCCCTTCAGAACTACTGACTCAGCTGGGCAGGAATG